TAATTGGTTTTCTCTTGCATCTGTTGCTGTGTGTGTGATACTAGGGCCAGATCATCCGCAAAATCCAGGTCATCAAGTTGTTTCCATAGTGTCCACTGAATACCATTTCTCTTCTGCTCTGTAGACATTTTCATTATCCAATCAATGGTCAGCAGGAATAGGAAAGGCGAGAGCAGACACCCCTGTCTGACACCGGTCTGTACCTCAAAAGCCGCCGTTGTTTGTTGGCCGTGGACAATTCTGCAGGATAGTCCTTCGTAAGAAGCCTTAATTATGTCTGTCAATTTTTGTGGTACCCCGTAGTGTCTAAGCAGCTTCCACAGAGTCTGTCTGTCGACACTGTCAAAAGCCTTCTCATAGTCAATGAAGTTGACGTATAGTGACGAGTTCCACTCCAGAGATTGTTCCACAATAATTCTCAGTGTGGCAATCTGGTCTGTGCAGGATCTGTCTTTTCTGAACCCTGCTTGTTGGTCCCTAAGATTGATGTCTATTGCCTCCCTCATTCTGTTTAGCAGCATTCTGTTGAATACTTTGCTTGGGATCGACAGCAGGGTTATTCCCCTATAGTTAGAACAAGAACTAAGGTCTCCTTTCTTCGGGAGCTTAACGAGGTGTCCTTCTTTCCATTCAGCCGGTATCTGTTCCTCCTCCCATATTTTCTTGAATAGTGTGTGTAGCATTTCAGTGCTAGACGTAATATCTGCTGTCAAGGCTTCTGTCGGTATTCTGTCAGGACCTGCCGCCTTGCCTTTCTTTAGTTGTTTAATTGCTCTGCATATTTCTTGCTTTGTGGGTGTGCTGCACTCTATTTCTAGATCTTTTTCCGCTGGCTCTATGTTGAGTGTGTGTTGTGGTGCTGGCCGGTTGAGGAGTTCTTCAAAATGTTCTATCCATCTTTTTTTCTGACCCTCTTCATCAGGTATTGATTTCCCATCTTTAGTTTTAACTGGTCTCACTGGATTGTTGAACTTTCCAGATAACTTTTTGATTGTACTGAATAATTCTCTTGTGTTTCCATGGTACGCAGCCTCCTCTGCTTCACTTGCTAATCCTTCTATGTAGTTCTTTTTATCTGTCCTTATACTACGTTTAACTTCTTTATTTGCTTCTGAGTATTCTGTTGATGCTCTGGCCTTTTCGGTTCTGGTGCGGCTATTGTTTAGATTTGCCTTCTTCTTTCTCCTATATTGGATTTTTTCCATGGTTTCAGCCGAAATCCATTCTTTATGCGTTTGTTGCCTAGGGCCCAACACTTCTTCACAGGTAGTCGTGAATATCTCTTTGATTTCTTTCCAGTTTTTGTCAATTGTTTCTTCATTGCCTAGTTCCTGTAAGATCTGGAACTTATTGGAGATGGTAAGTTTAAACTCCTTTAGCTTGGACTCATCTTTCAAGAGGTTGATGTTAAAATGTTGGCGCTTGCTTCCCTCGCTTGTCCAGTTCTTTTTCAGTTTCAGCCTTAATTTGGCAATAATTAGATGATGGTCTGAGGCTACATCTGCCCCTCTTTTTACCCTAACATCTTGGAGCGACCGTCTAAACTTATTGCAAATACAGAAATGGTCAATTTGGTTAGCCGTTGACATATCTGGTGAAATCCATGTGGCCTTGTGGATATTTCTATGCATGAAGAGGCTTCCTCCGATGACTAGTCCAATTGTAGCACATAGATCTGCTAGTCTTTCACCATTTTCATTCATCTCTCCCATACCATGTGTTCCCATGCATTCTTCATAGCCTTTATTGTTGCTGCCTATTTTCGCATTTAGGTCGCCCATGAGTATAACCATATTGCTCTTAGGACACCTTTGGACCAGGGTTCGCAGTCTGTTGTAGAAATCCTCTTTGTCCTCTTCTTTACTATCGTTGGTAGGAGCGTACACCTGTAGGATGTCCATATTGATTTTTCGTTTTTTTGTCTTAAATCTTGCCGTGATTATACGGGAACCATGCGCTTCCCACCCTATAAGTGCGTTCTGGGCAGTTCTGGAAAGCATGAGTGCCACTCCTTGGTTGTGCGCCGCATTTTCATCTTCGTGGCCTGAATATAGCAGCAGTTCCCCTGTGTTGAGCTTTATCTGACCTGAGCCTATCCATCGAGACTCACTTATTCCCAAGATGGCTAGTTTGTATCTTTGCATTTCAGCAGCAACTTGGACAGTTTTTCCAGTTTCGAACATGGTCCTTACGTTCCATGTTCCTAGACTGGTGGTGGTCCTAGTGGAGAGGATGGTTGTCCGCCGGTTGGTTTCCAGTTGGCTTTGGCCACCCAGCTTCATTAATTCTCTGTTAGGAGACCCATCCTTTCCAAGGTCCGAGTTTCCTTTTGAAATCTTTCTTTGTGTTTGTTTAGCAGGGCTTTTTTTACAGGGAAGGGTTGCTAGCCCTTCGCCCAACCCTCCTCCTTTCACAAGAATACTTAGTTTTATATTTGTAAAGAAATTATTTTTGATAAAAATACTTTTGCAAAGTTAGTGCAGGACTTATGATAAGGGTTCCGTCTTCTTCTTCTATATCTTAAGGGCCCACGATCAATTTATTAATCATTTTGGCTCCTATGCATGTAGATGGGATTTGCAATGTTTCTGTTACTGATGTTGATGAGGAAATCATGCACTAGGGGTTTAAAGGCTTGAGGCAATAGATACAAATGTGTCTAGTGTTGTCGCCTCAACCGTTCCTTTTGAAAGATTGTTCCAGTCCCTGATTGTCTTGGGCAGGAATTAGCAGCTCCTATTCTGGCTTCTTGCTGGTATGAGCCTGAATGGCCTGTCATGGTCAAGGACAGTCCAAAAAGTCTCATGAGGGTTAATCATATTTTACTTCAAGTGAAATCAAAACAAAAATAATTTAAAACAAAATATTTAACAATTTTCCAACAGCCTTGTTGGTTTATCTTTGTAAACAGGAAATAAATTTTCTCACAGTCACTTTATATTTCTGTATGCTTGGGTAGTAAAAATAGGGAAAGAGCAAAATGCTTAACAGTATCAGTGTGATTAGTTTATTAACTGCTAGCATGCAACATAAAGATGAATTTATACATTTTATTAAAAATAAATGAAATGTCTTACTTTATCACAGCAAACTGTGAAGAAAGCCGGGGTCATCAGACATAAGCCCAAGATTACTAAAGGCAAAAAGATCAAAACTTCATCTGCAAAGTCTACATCCAGATCATCCTCCAAACCTAGTGCAAAATAATGGCTTTGAGATGAAACATATGGGTGATAGATTGGAGATAAGAGTAAGAGAGGTTGACTGACAGTGATTCATGTAGTGGCATGAAGAGAAGAAATATATTGAGAAACTGAGAAATATGCTTCACTTCTGCCACTAGGCTTTCTTTTTATTTCCCTTTATACAATAAATGTGATTATTTTTGAGAGCTGTTAAAATGTTGGTTTTGATTTTGTTAAATGAAGAAAATCGTTAAAAAGGTTTAAGTATGCTATGTGGATAAGTTGGTTTTGTTAAGACGATCCAGTGTTTTTTTAAAGGCATTTAAAATATTTCATCCCAATATTTTAAAAAATATTGTGTTTAAAATTTGGTCCTTGACCTGTTTGTTTGAATGTCTACTCACAAAGTAAGTATTAATCAAGCAGCTGCCCAATACAGTGCAACTGAATCGATGGAGAGATTTTATTTATATTTGATCTGTTTCAAATCTTCATAGATCCTTTACTAAATCATTTTGTTTAAAATCTTTATACCATACAAAAAATCAAAAACAAAGCTAAATTGAGTTATTGTTATGAAAGTTAAGTTCATAACATGGTAATTGATTATTTTTTTATTGCTTTGATTGGATTGCATTTTCTGCCTAATTTATTATAGAGTAAGATCCTGGTTTAAGTTCTGTATTTTAAATTTTAATTTACTATTTAAAAAAAGTTCTTTTTCTTTTCTCAATTGGGCACAGTGTGATGTTTTCTTTGTGTTCTTGCACAGTATTCATATCGCCTGTGTTCCGTGAAATTGCCTGAGAGCAGTAATCACATTGTAAAAAAGCAAGAGAGGACTTGATCCATTTGTTTATGGCAGAGATGGAGTTTTTTTCTCTCTTAGATTTCAATTTAAATGTCTGTCATGTAGCAGACTGATTTTTTAACATACAGATGATCTCCGGCCAAAATATTACTAGTTTACGGAATTCAGATAGTCATACTATACTATACATATACACTACATATTTTTGTATATTAAAAATTAGAATATTATTTTCTTATGACTAATAATAATAAATACCATTATGTATGGTAAAAATAAGACCTTTCAGTTCAACTACTGTAATAAAAAAATATTTGAATATCAATTTTCTTTTGAGTTTTCTACTTGAAATTTTGATTTTTTTTATTGAGGCACGGTGAATGAAAGCTCGTAGCAGAACTGAAATTTGTATTAGTCACATCATTAAAGTAGGTGTCAAAATAAGGATTAAATTATTGTCTACTAGTAGATTATTTCTGCCAGGAATATTTGTGTCTTATCTTAGTAAATATGCCATGAACATAAATTTGCATTATTGCACCAGCTTAATTTGCAAAGCGACATTTTAAATCTCAGCCTAAGTTATAATTTTTTGGTATTGCTTTTAAAAGCACTAAGTTTTTGTTTTTTTCATGTTGAATCATTTTTAATGGGTATAGTTTTTAAGACTTTATGTTAAACTTTGTACTTTCAATTTTTCTAGATATCTTGCTGTTACCACAGCTTTAATATTTCTAGACTTGCTATTTCATAGACTACTGAAAATCTGATTCCTTATAATTGTAAGACCTTCCTTGTCTATTGTGCTGATCTGAAATCTACTACCTTTTTTTTTTTAATTTACTAGTTTAGGAAAGATCTTTACTGTCCTAATAAATAGATGTATTTTTTGATAAACAAGAATGTTTCTTTAGTTTTATTTGCAAAAAAATTATGGTAACTGATTAAAATAATCGATCTGTTCTAATTCAATATTTGTAAAGCTGGTTCATTTTTTTTTTTTTCAATTGCTTTATTGAATAAACATTTTTTGTAGATTTCATCTGTTTGCTTGGAGAGAAAACTCACAACATTGTACAATTATGGTCTGAACAAATAAGTTTGGAAATTTAAGGACAGCTCTAAACAGAAGGCAATGTGATATCAGAGACATATATGATGATGAACCACAATTTATTAATCTAAAACTTTTAGTTTTCTTTTTTTGAATTCTTTTTATTAACTTAGTTATTCAATTTATTGTGCTTAAAACTAAAGGCTGTTTTTGTCCCATTGTGGGTTTCATGACATTCCTCATTCAATTTTGTTGCTGCCATAGCCTTTGTCTGTAAAGGCATGCCTATATATTCTAGTTTTATCAAAGTTTTGAGGCATTTAAAACTAAATCTCACAAGGTATTTCAATTTCAAATATTTAATCTACTTCAAAAAAAAGTTAATGGGCAAAGATATCGAGTCAAAATTATTTACACAATTTTTATTATGAAAACTTAAGCTAAACTTTTTGAAGAGTAATTATTCTTTCATATATTTGGAATACAGTAGAACCGGTTATGTCGACGGCCTCGGAGTTTGCCAAAAAAAACGTTGCGATAACAGATGATTGAGATTAACTAAAACCAGTATGGTGGCATTATATTATATTAACATGTGCTTGAAATTTCTTTATGTACATGATGTGCGTTTATAAATGAGAATGTACAATCACATGTTTTTGGATTTTTTTTGTTTTTTTTTACACAACAGCGTTACTGCAATTTGATGAAACGATCGGCATGCTATAAAATTTACATACATATTTGCTAACAACACAAGGCATATGTGGGGTGCCACTTTTCTGGATTGTCCCAGAATTCCGGATTTGTGAGGCTAAATATTTTTCAGCCAGTTCAGTTTATTGAAATACAGATTCTGGGTTTTTTAAAAAATCATGTAAGAACACAGGAAAGCCTATTAAGCGACAAGCGAGTTCGCTATAAACAGAACAGGTACTGCAACCTCTCTATTTTGATTGCAAGCCTCTTGCGTCTTGCTGTGTCAAGTTAATTGCGCCAACGATATTGACATTTCAATTACTACAGTTTGAAGTAGGCATGTTTCTGTTGTATATAATTTTCAAAAGCAGTGATTGTTCATGGGGATTGAGATAACCGAGGTTAAGTGGCAAATTTAGCTGCCTTTTGTGCTCGAGATATCGGGGTTCAGCGACATAAAAGAGGAGAAAATACTAAGACAAAGAATTTGAAAGTTCCACTTCAAATCGTCGACATAACAGGGTTGGCGAGTTAATCAACATAACCGGGTTCTACAGTATATATATATGAAAACCTATCCTGCCATCTTTTAAAGGGACTGTTCATTTTAAGTTGATCTTAATGTTTGGTTTGGGAGATGTGTTGAATTCGTATTCTGTTTTGAGATGAACTTAAATATGTAAACCTCTTGTAATACAAGTCCACATACAGACCTTTCCTTTTTTTTTTTTAATTGAGGTATGATATAATGGTGCTTTGTATGAATGTCAACATGCACACATTTCTTTTGATCATTGGTATAAGTATAAGAATGGGATGCACATTTTGGCTCATATCTTAATTTCTGCTACTTTTTTTTTTTAGATAGTGCTGTTTTTTAAGAATAATTTTAACAACTTTTTGTCCACATTAATATATTTTATTTTCTATGAGAAATTCTAGCCAATGTTTAGTGTTATATAAGCCACAAGAAATTAACAGCCTTGCTATGGGTAGCAAATGCAATGATTGGGCAGCATTGGAATGTACAATTTATTGTACATTGTTAGGGAGACATATGCTGTACCTGTGTTTCACTTTAAAAAGGATTCATTGTTTACTTTGTTAGAAAATAATGTGTAAAAAAAAAATCACACATTAATTTTACAGCCATGTTTGCTGGGTTCTTATAATTTAAAAAAGTTATGAGTGATAATTATAATTCATAAAGATTAAAAACATTAATTACATTTTTCAGAAAGAAATCTCCTGCTGATTACAGGCAAAAGGTTACTTTCAGTGCAATGGAATTACATGCATATATAAATTATTATAGATGAATGTTCTTTGTTTAATGTTTGAGAAATCAAATTGTGCTTTGTTATTAAAATGTGAAAAAGAGATGTTATTAAATCTATTGTAACAATATTCAAGACTTTTTTTTTCTTCTCATGACCAGCATATGATTATAATCAACACATTTACCCCATATGTTTTTAATCACATTTTATTCCTCTTGAAACTTGTTAGCAGATATAAGTATAAGCTTTCACTTCAAAACATTCATTCTATTAGCAATTTATGATAATATATTCCCTAGCTTTATTCTGAGTTGATTATCACAATGTGGGTCTCAAATATATAATGTTGTAATTCTAAATTTATATTTTTAAGATAATAAATACAAATGTACATTATAATCTTGGATAACAAGATGGAACATAAATACAAATGGAACATTGAACATCATTTGGTATTTTCTGTGATGCTGAATTCTTTACCTTTTCTAAATACTTAATTTCTTTCCATACTATTTGATATACACTGCACCTAACATTCATACAGCTTACATTTATACCAACTTGGTTATATATACAAATAAATAGTTAAAAGGAACTTGGATCAGTCTTGATGAAGCACAGAATCCTGGAATTTTGTTTATCTGAAGTCCTCTGCTGCAAACATACCCTGTGCAATTGGGAGGGGGAAAAAAGTTTCTACAATAAAATTTTACCAGAGAAAAAATGCAACTATAAAAATATGTTTGCTTAAACTTTCCCACACCAAATGAATAAATGAAAATGCCTATTAAAGTCTGTGTTCAAGGTACTTTAGGTACAGTGGCTTTTCATCAAATATATTGATTTCAAACTGCCTGGTTTTTCATGGTAGGTGAAATAGATGAAAAACATGTCTCAGACAAAATATGATCACCAGACCCTTATACCCAGTCATATTTTTAGGCTTCCTAAAATTAATACTAACAACTGAAATTTTCACTTTTTATCTTGTTAAAAAAATTTGTTATACTAATTTACTAAGACACTAAACAGAGTTTACATCAAAATTAGGTTAGGCAGGACTAGGTTAAATGAGGCCCAGAGTATTTGTTCTGTTTTACTTGCTTACTATCATATATACTTAAGTGCTATTGGTCTTTTAATATATTTAATGTAATCATAACCAATCAGAGATTGCAAAACAGAAGGTAAAACTTAAGGACAAGGCTTCCAAGAAATTCAGCTAACATTAATTGTTCAAACAATACTAAATATGAGTGGTTAAAATTAATTTTTTCACTCTGAAATCATATTTTTATCAATGGTCCAAATTTGTATTGGTAGGCAGGTCTGCATCACAAATGCCAGAATGATTATGCATTTGTTGATCTGTTCCTACATTACAGTTCCCATACTCTTAACTAATAACATAAACAAACTTCTGTAACTACGGTAGATATTAAATTGTAAGAGTCCTAGGCATTGTTATTTTACCTTTGCTCTTCTAAGGATAGAGTCTTTAGAAGGATCATATGGTGAATCTTTGCTGGGGATTTCCAAAATTGATGGAATGGGCAGATCATGGGAGTCTATAACATGTCTAATCATCTCAGCTATCTGAAAGTTGTGTCATTATAAAATGTTAACAAATAATTAAGTTTACAGTGTGCATAGGTAAATTAACTTGGGTAATGGATAAGTATAATTACAATTAAAAACCAGTTAAAACTCTGACATCTAAAACACATTTTCAATTAGCCTACAGAGAAAAAGATGTTAACAAATGGTTTTACTAACCTCAAATCCAAAGTAAATAATTAGACTGGTGATATGGTTTTCTATATGTTCTTTTTAAATTTTACAAAACCTTATTTAACTAAGCATTTCACAAGACTTACATTCTGGTTTATAAGGATAATGGCAATGTCATCTCTCTTTAAAAAGCTTTTAAAGGTTTCTTCGATTTCTCCAATGCTTGTATCTGAAAAAGTATGTCAGCTGCCATTAGTAGACTTAAAAGACTGTCAGAGCATTAAAGTAAAAACAATTTTAATCTTAAGCAAAAAAAAAAAATATTGAAATAAATATTGCAATTCTGCAAATGATTTCTGGCAATTGATCTCATAAAGATTTTAGTTTTAAATGATGTTGAAATAGTGGGCCTTTGTGGCCTTCCAAAAATTAATCTTGCACTCACTTTTGTCTACACTCATGAAGTTACTGCTTCTGTTTTTATTCATTTCTCCAATTCCACCAAGAACAAAGCCAATGCATGTGTCCTGAAAAGAATTTATGAAAAGAATTTAAAAAAGATTTCTATTTTTTAAATCATCCACCCAATTCTCTATCCATAATTGGGTGCACAATGGTGAAAGGGGCTGATTTTGAATTAGCGGTAAGGCCGACCATGTGTTCCACGGTATATAGGTCATTGAGGTTCTCCCAGGTCCACTTCCGTCTACAGTGCCATACTAAAAAGATTTCGATGTTTGTATTTACATGATGCAAGTTTTTGTTTTCTTATTTATATTTTTTGTTGAATTAGGAAGGGGTTCTAGTTCTAGGGACTCCAGAGGATTTCTTTGTTTCTTATTTTGGTATTTAAAGCGAGGGAGGGGTCTACCCTCAATTTTGGCGTGCATCTTTTTTTTCACCGGTGTTGGGTCTTGGGGTAACAGCAAGGATGTGTTTCTTTTTTCCTTTCTTTTGAAACGTTAAGTTGAATTTTAAGACAAATTATGGAAAATTTCATTTCAATGTACTTCATATTAACTGCATTGTTTATGACACCAGTAAAGCTCAAACTCAATAAAGAACAGGAATATTATAACACACATCGTTCGGGTCCTTCAAAGAATAGGTCTATTCATCTTAAGTCCAGTGTTGGGATTCCCTAAAGTGTCGTCACTGCATTTACTGTGAGAAAACTCATTGGCAAAACCCATACCGTTAACTCAAAATTTACTGTGAGAAGGACTGATCTGTCAGTAGAAACACCTGGGGGCAGGAAAAGGAGTATAACTATGTGCCAGGGGTGCCTCCATGGGTCCTGTTTCCCAAAAAATTTCACACATAAATTATGCAAGTGGGGATAGCTCATTTGCATGAATGTTGAGATTTCAGTTTGATTTATAAATATTTTATTAGTTCCTACAAGAATATATACAGTTTGGTAATCTACCACTTGAGCGTCAGCCAAGAAAAAATCCAGTTGTTCCGGTTGGAAGGGCCATTTAAACAACTATTCTTACATTCGAGTCGTTAATATTTTTGCTGCCGTATAGAGGCTATAAAGTTATATAGCACAATACTTATACATTTAAATTATTACTGCCAAGCTACCGATATGCCAGGAAGAAAAAGAGACAACAATTATTGATTTTGATCCAGATGACGCGGATGTCCACACGCAGAATGTGGAAAACGTGAATGCTCAGAAAGCGTAAACTGAAAAGACAGTTTGGCACAAGAAGCGCCAGTGATCTTTCCCCTTCATATTTACGTGGATACCACAACCGTTTTCCTGGAAATTATATTTTTTTAAATTTCATTGTATCCTGGGGGAGAACTATGCATAATTCAATTTTCAATTTTTTATTATGGGAATGAATACTACAACCAATGTCATTAAAAATAATATAAGAATAGTTGTTTAAATAGCCCTTCCAACCGGAACAGCTGGATTTTTTTCTGGGCCAACGCTCAAGTGGTAGATTACCTACAGTTTTAGGTAAAAGTGCAGTTCAGGTGCATATATTATTTCTGTTTGAATCTCTTATTTTCCCGTGTAAACTTATGTTAATTCTTTATAAAAAGTATTTTAAAAGTTATGTACCATCTTTTTATTGGAATGCAACAACAATTTAACAAATTTTACGAGATAAAAAAAGCACATTTTTATTAATCTTTCATGTTTTACGGAGCTGTTGTGGTAAATCAAGGATAACTCTTCTGTCTTTAAAGATACTTTATAAAAGTTGCCCAATTGGATGAATCTAGTTAAAATAAATAATGTATTTATTTTATAACTTTACTATCAACTGTAACCGGAGTTGCCTGGGGCTGCATTCAGAAAAAAACATCTGCTACGTCCTTTTAGTTCACATTGCTATTAAAGGAAATGTCAACAACAAAACAACACTAAAAAAAATAATAATAATTAATTTGTCTCCTATAAAAACACTTAAAATAACTTATGTAAACTTTTCGTTTTTCCCGTTTTCCGATGGCACCCGGAAGGATCATGATGTGATTCCGATAGAATCCTGGTCATGGTGGAATCCCGATCCCGGTAAGATACCAATCCCGATGAGATCCGTTTCCGGTGGTATCCCAAACTAAATGAGATCCCAATCCGGTGGGATCTCGATTCCGGTGGGATCCCGTTTCGGTGAGATTCCGATCCCGATAGGATTTTGATCCAAGTGAGATCCTGATCCCGGTGGGATCCCGATCCAGTGGGTTACCGATCCCGGTGGGATACCGGTTACGGTGAGATCCCATTTTGGGTAAGATCCCGTTTCGGGTGATATGCAGATCCCGGTAATTATAGGGAGCTCACATACTTGACATACGAACCCAGCTTACAAGCCACATTGCAATTGTTACGAGCACCTTAGGAGAAATTCCAGTTGTAATAACATTATTTGTTGCCCCACAAGGTACGCGTTTAAACCAAATGCTGCACCATTTAAAATGCCCGTTGCATCAACAATTTTAGTTATTGTTTCTTGGTCGTCCTGCCATTTTAAACAAAATGATCCTACAACCAGCAATATGGCAAAGCCAAAACGAGTCTGTCTTATAATATAAAAAAAATAATCACTAGCCCTCACTTTACTCAGCGCAAAGAATTCACCATTAATAAGAGCATTTGCATATGAAAAAAGAGGAGGGGTAGTCAGATTAGAGCTGACCAATCACAGACAGCGTATTAGCAGCCTTCAGGATGAGATGACAATCAAAATGACCCCACCCTATCATTCCGATTTCCCCCATTTGTGCAACGTCACAAATATATATTTTTTTTAAGTGGACACGTGATCACACATTGGCATGTATTCGTGCAACCCCCCACCCCTCCTTTTCTTTTTTCAGCTTCCCTCCAGGTCCAGGACAATGATGACGTGTGTATCCACTGCCTTAGTCAGTGATCCACTTCTAATCCCCCCCCCTCACCCAACTTCAAAGGACAACCCCTATATCCCGAGCGCTCTGGGGTGAAAAAAAGAAAGTGGTGGTGGGGGGGGGGGGGCTGGGGCGTAATGAAAAAGCTAGTATTTCATTCTTTTTTGTGAACATGGTTACAGTTTGAAAATTTAGCAACCCCCCACCCCTCCTTTTCTTTTTTCAGCTTCCCTCCCGGTCCAGGACAATGATGACGTGTGTATCCACCGCCTTAGTCAGTGATCCACTTCTAATCCCCCCCCCTCACCCAACTTCAAAGGACAACCCCTATATCCCGAGCGCTCTGGGGTGAAAAAAAGAAAGTGGTGGTGGGGGGGGGGGGCTTGTGCGTAATGAAAAATCTAGTATTTCATTCTTTTTTGTGAACATGGTTACAGTTTGAAAATTTCGTTTATCATACTAACATAGGTGGCTTAAAAATCTGGCATAGGGTGAAAAGAAAAATACAAACAAATGGGGCTGTCTCATTTTGTTGGGGGATGGTTAAAAACTCTTTAGAAGTAAAATAAAAAGAAAAGATGTGACTTATAATTCAGCATTAGTGAACTATAACTTGTATAACTGCCTGCCTGTATTTAATTATTAAAGAATACAAGTAAGTTTACATGATACAAATTTTTAAAATACGAAATGCGTTAAGAAATAATATACGCTCCTGAACTGCACTTTCACCCAGTTTTATATATGTAAAGTAAAAAGTTTATTCGTTTTAAATTTTTTTGCAGCAATGCGAGTGACTCCGTGAGAGTGGCGAGCTCGTAAAAAGTGCTGTCTTTTTCAATTTTTGGCACAGACACCCCGAACAGGCTCCGTCCCGAAAGGGTTAACGTGCGTTAGGACTAATGAAGCTTATTTTCGTTTTTTATTACATATTTATATTTCAGAATTACAACATAACACAGATTTACCTCATCTCCAATGACTGATATGAGTTTTCCTTTCTGCAAAGCCATTTTCTTTTCGGTTCTTTTGTCATATGAAATTTATGCCGTCATATGATTACATTTTACCGACAAAACCAGAATTTTCAAAAATATGTAAGAAAATTCAAGAGTATAATCCAGCGTAATAAAGGACTGAAATTTATTTATGCAAATTTTTCATTAATAGGACTGATATTAGCTAAAACTTTTTAAAATATTATTTTAATTATTCTTATACTATTTTTTGGCTTAATCCAGTAAAGACAATTTATTCTACTTTTTGTGTTAAATACCTTAATGTGGCTTCTACATTCGACAATAGTAATAAAAAATGTGGGTAATAACTTTCTAGTTATAGTAAATAAAGATTAAAGTACCTTGATAATTTTTAGTAATGTAATTAATTTTGAAGCAACAATTTAAATTTACTAACTTAGTTTAAAAAGACAATTGGCATATGCGTAGATCAAAATCAGTGGTAATAATTATAGTACCTTCTACAAATAATAATATTTGAATCAAACTGGCAAAAATAACAAAAATAAGTATCAAGGGAGTGTATGCCTATTCTCTTTTGAACTGAACTTCCTGTTTCTCTATTTACTGCCAACATCAACTCTACTCGAGCCACCAAGACCAATGTTTCCTAAATATTGAATTTAAATCATTTTGGTAAATATACCGAACGAATAAGATACTTTTTTACTTCTAGATAAATTTTAGAAGTAAGGTGTATTTATAATATTTCTCGGTTACCATCTTCCTCTAGACTCCAGGGCTACACTAATCACTAAGCTAGATCTAACTGTTCAGTGAGAGTTGAGTGGACTGCTGCAGAAGACTTTTTTTTTTTTAGAGAAAAAGTAAAAGAAAGGAGTGAACTGGTCGGTAAATTGAGTAAAGTATGTAAAGTCAGTGAGTAAAGGTCAGTAGTCGTAGAATACTAGAGTACATCAGTAAAAGAAAATATGACAATAATGGCTGTCCTAACCATTCAGTGAGAGTTGATTGGACTGCTGCAGAGGACTTTTTTTTTTTTTAAGAGAAAAGGTAAAAGAAAGGAGTAAACTGGTCGGTAAATTGAGTAAAGTATGTAAAGTCTGTGAGTAAAGGTCAGTAGTCGTAGAATACTAGAGTACACCAGTAAAAGAAAATATGACAATAATGGCTAGCAGTACCAGTTCTAGTTAGTACTGGTATATTTAAAATTATTTAGGCTTAGGTATGCTGGTATGCCAGGTATTGGCATGGCATGGTGAATGTAGGAGGCTTTTCTGCCTTTAAGATTAAGAATCAATGTCAAAGTATCCTATCTGCACATGGCCCGGTATCATCAAATAAAGAGACATTAAAGGGAAAAGATCTGAAAGTGTGAAAGGGCAGACTTTAAATTCAAAGGGAGTCCCAGGTATTACAGTACAACCCAACAGGGATGGGGTGGGGCTTGAAGAAAAAAAGAATGTAAAACAAAAAAAAATATTTGAAAGTTAAGTTAAATTGTAATGTACATTGTACAGGCAGGTGATAATATCCTATTTTGTTAAAATACTTTTATTTGCAATGCTAATATTTTTAACCTTGTCAATAAAAGCCAGGCCTAAATTTGACAATTTATAATTACTTAACTAACCTATCAGTAGGAGTAGGGTTAACCAAATATTTACAAATGCAAGAGTATTTTGATAATTATTTAGTAATATTTTATTTTTAAAGTGATTTTTAATAATATTGTAAAGAATTGATAAATGAAAATAAATATTTGAGCTAGTATTAAATAGGATGCTTGCTGTCATCTGGATCTTGATCTTTTCACTTAGAGCAACCTCAGCCTCAATGACAATAGCTAAAAAATATATTACTCTAAATGGGTCCATCCATAAATGACATTACACATGTTGCATGTATTAGATGTATTTGTGATGAGGATCCCTAATTTATGTGAAAATTTATCATGACCTTGGCAGAGGGATAAAAAAAAACTGACATCATTTATAAATGACCCCATTGACAAAAGATGGCTGGAACTTAATTTTATTTTTAGTTCAGTTTAATTTTTTTAGTACAGAGAATTTATTTTAATAATAAAATCCTTTTACATTAATAATGAAATAAGTTGATTCTGTATAAAACAATTTAACAAAGAATTTTTAAAAATTTTATATAATATTTTAAATTTGTATTGAATCAGTCTGGCAGACTACTACTTTCAAAGAAACTTGGCTACTTTGTAGTAGTATTTGTAGTATTAGTACTAGTAGTTTTACTAAGCCTATACTATGTCATGAGTTTCAATATGAAAACAAGCCTGTTAGTGTACTAAATAATGCCAAATCATGCATTTTTAAATTAAACTTAAAAACCAACAGTAAAGATCCTAAGTTCGTAATATGTGTGATAGTCTCAGGATCTGTGAAAGTCTCAGGCTAAAATTTAATAATCACATTGTAAAATTATAATAACTGCAAGGTAAATAGTTTGTACCCGGTAGTCCTAATCTAATAATGAATTGTTCTATTTTAGGCTTAATTAAATGACTTTTTTCTTTTCATCTTCATCAGAGATGACGTTTAGAAAGAATGAATGATCTGCCAGGCCTATGTTGACCACTCAAGTATTTAAATGATATTTTAAAGAAAATCAGTATGTCTTTGATTGAAGGCATTGGCGATGAAGTCACTCTTATTCTGTGCCTTTTCTTCTTGGGTATTGTTCTGATGCTGGCATGGATCTCGACACACACTGCTGATATTCCACTTCTTCGAGAAGTAGGGGTTATTGTCGTAGAACTCAGCCAAAGAAGAAGCAGAACACGAAATAATGATGCTAGCTCTAATGTGGATGGGGCCAGAAATACTGATTCCAGTGAAAGAACATCTTCTCTGACAGAGCAACAGACCGAAGAACATTTAGAAAATGACACTATTGCCTTGACTAATAGTAGAGAAGAAAATACAAATATTGAAAGTGCTAAAGTAAATAGCCAAGATGGTAACACAGCAGAGACATCCTTTGAGAACTCTAGTATTCAGACAGAGGCCTCTGATGTGCCACCAGTTACTGATTTTCAGTTAAATGTTCCAAGAATACAAGAATCTGAATCTTTTTCTCAAGTACTGGGAAGACAAATACAAAGGTCTGATGAATTGAGTAATCAAGAAGAAGCAGAGAGTCTATTTCCAAATGCATCTGTTGTTGTTGGAGAAAACAGTGGCTCTTTCCATGTTTTGAATGATGAACTTTCAACTGAGGAAGAATTGCGACGAAGGAGAGTGCAGTATTTTCAGTCATCTCATTTGAATTCACTTCCAGAAGAAACACATGTTTCAAAACCACTTTCAGGTGACAGCGCTGTTACTTCTAGTCTGCAAAAAGCAGAACACATTAATAAGAATAATCCAAAGTCTCAGTCTAGGGATAATTTGATTTCGTCAAATCTAACTGACTCAGTAAATCACAATGTGAGTGCTTCTGAGCAGAGTATTCATGATGAGGACCATTCACAACCTCAGTCTCCTGATGTCACCACAAGACAGGCGCAGGAAGATAACACATCTATATCAAGAATCCGTGTTAAGCTTAAGTACATGAATGAGACACAGAGGCTTGTATATGCCAGCCCCTTAGATACAATAGGAGATTTTAGAAGGTAATGTCTAAATGCTCTCCTCCATTACAGTAATAGAATACATTGAACATCATAAATCTTAAACGTTTTGATAAACCATGTTGTTCAGTGACATATCAAAATGCACTCATGACAATAGTATTATTGTTAATCACATTATCACACATTTTTGCTTTTAAATATTGTTGGAATAGGAGGCTGGCTTAAATATTGAAGAAAATCAAATATTTTGAATAATCTGCACTGTATTAAAAGCTGCATAATATTACTTTAAAAAAATATTATGAAACATAAACATTAAAGGTTATAAACTTTTAAAACTAAATAGCCACGAAATTTTGATTTTAGTGTTTATTTGTATAAATATGTATATAAAATTTAGCCGTTGATGTCATTTCTCTGTAACAGGACTAATTTTCAAGCTGAACTGCAGGACAACAAATGGGTTCGTTTCATTTATAATGGACAAGATCTACGAGATGATGCTCGTACTCTGCAAGCCTGTAATATCAGTGATAACTGTACCATGCATTGTTTGATAACTTCCCCGACTAGGACAGCGACATCACGAGATTCTGGTCATGAAGATGAAGATGACTCCTTCATGGGGGCATTAATGTATCCTCTCTTCACGGTTATCCTTTTGATTGTCTGGTATTGTAGATTTACATACAGGTTAGTCATGTTTCTAAGCTGCAATTAATTATTGTATATTATACCATTTGTAACACACTTGTGTATTAATATATAAATCCTTTTCTAATTTCTACCCAATAATTGTATATCTCTCTATCTGTAACAAACTAGTACGGTATATTAATGAATAAACCTTAGTTTTATCAATTCCTAAAAAAAATCGAAGTGGCCATTCGCACCCGGGTACCAGAAGTGAGAGTTTGGGATTAAAAAGCTATTTAAAATATTATAGTACAGTTGGGTTTGTAAATAAGCTTAATTCTAGGCTTTTAGCATTTTAAAAAATAATTATTTTCTTGCAATGCTTTAGGGGAGTTTTTTAACAGTGAAGGTGGAAAATCTTCTCACCAAGCTATGTATAACACAAAATTTAGATAAAATTGATCGTTCCTTCTAACCATTTAAGTTAACATTAAGTTAACATGCAATATGCATTATAATATTTAAAAGAAACATTATCTTGTCCAAATGTATTCAGAATGACTAAATGTTACTAACATATTTTAACAGACAATACTTCAGCGCAATGAGCACAGTCTGTTTGATAGGAATAACATTTCTGCTGGCACTCAGCTATGTTTCTTCATTACGCGTAAGTGAGCAGCCCCCACGGCAGAGCATGTCTCCAGCAGTTGGAAGTAGAGCACAACACACCCATGAACATGCAGAGTGATAATTAATTAAACATTAAATGGAATAGTCACATTGACGAGTTATGTAGAGTACCTTATTCTAAAACATTTCTATTACTCAAAATTCTTTAGTGATTATCTTCTGGGGCATATTTTCCGTCTAAATACAAACCATTTTGTCTTTGTTCTAAACGTACAATAATTTAGTGGATAAATAAAAAAATTTGATTATTTGAAAAAAAAGTATTTATTTTTGAATATGTACAATTTAGGTTTTTACAAAATTGTACCTCAGTCTTAGTGTTACCTAGTTTGTCACTAAAAATATGATACTGAATAATTATTATGCATTGTCATGGTGAAATAGACCTAAGCTTTTAGGAATAATCAAAGTATATATATATATATATTATTGTATTTTACTCTTGATTTTTTAATGGCAAAAATCACCCACTGTTACTGATAAATAAGATACTGGGAAGCAAACATATTTTTCTTGGGTGAAGGCTTATTAAGTTATGAATAATTTTACTTTATCAATTATTTTTCAGGTTACAATTTGTTAAAACTAGAGTAGGTTCTGGGTATTTTTAACCACTGGATTTCAATCAGTTACCCCTTAATTTAAATGATTTAAATTTATTTCTTGAGTCAACATTTTTGTGTCTCTTGATTGAACTAAAATAAAATAAACTGCAAATAAAGTTTGATAATTTTCAAATTACAGGATTTCTTTCTTGTTCTTTCATTTTTTAAAAAGTAACTTATTGTGTTCTTTGATTTAAGCATTGAGCTAATTGTTTCATTGTATATTGCATACATTTTAATTTTGTTCCCTAACTTATCCAGATTCTTACTTTTCCTTTCAAAGAGATTTGGCTATTTTTGAATAAACTAGATCTCTATAAAAAGAATTATGTTTCAACATTATGTTTTTCTTTAAATAGAGTGCGATATTTTATCATTATGTGTTTCATCTTAAAAATTTATCTTTGAAACAGCTTTTTAATCGCACAATAACTTGAATAAGTATTTATGATATTAAATAATGATACAAATATGAAAAAAGCTGATTCATAATATTTTTTAATGTATGAAACGAAATAATTTAAATATATGAAAATGAATAAGGATAATCAGAGATATATTGAAGCCATGTTGGTTGAAAATATACACCTTTGTAATTTTCCACCTTCAGGTAAATGTAATTTATTGCATGTATAAATAAATGTTAAAAGTAAGATTGAGTTTGAAAACAAAACGTTAACAAACAAACAAGGTTATTCTATTCTGAGATTTTGTTTTTATTATTAAAAAAATGGCTGTGAGGTGAATATATTTTTCCAAGAAAGAAAAATCTTGCATGTTAATTAGTTTGAAAAACATTGGTGTGTGTGAAAATGTGTTTAATGATATCCATAGTTTATCAATTATGTTTTTTTCCCTTCACTTTTAATATCTTTTAATGGAATATTATCTACTTAATTTTTTTTAATAGGAAGCTTATGTGCAAGTTATCTTTGCTACATCACTGATAATTTTTTCAAGTGTTTAAAAAATAATAAAAATGTAGAAATAGGTGAAGCTGATATTCTAAGTGTTTACAAATTAAATAAGTTTATTATATTTTGAGGAATCTTTTTGATACAAAGAAACAATAAGTTAAATTGGTCAAATAAGAGAATCTGTCTTTTTTGTTGTTCATACTATGATAATCAACCATGTTTCCTGTCATAATTATTTTTATAATTCAAATTTGTATAATTATTTTGAATAATTGTAGTTTTTTTTTTTTTTGGTGCTAAATAATCAGTTAAAAATCATTGACAACTCACTTTAGGACTTAAAAAACATAAAATAAAAAGATTTGTCATGTTCTCCAGTTTCTCAATTGAAATGTTTTACTATTAATTTTAGAAGAATGTTCTTTACTCCTGGTGTGTTAGATTTTTGTAAACTTCTTGCCAAGCTTGTTTGTTATGAACATTGTGAGTTGGTTGATGAAGGGTTAACATTTTCCTGACTTTTAGTGGGAGTTCATATTGTGGAGATAATCTCAAGATTATTGATTTAATAATTTTGCCTCCACTCTATAAACTCTATATTTAATCTTATTCATGTGGTAATGTTTCTCTTTTGGATATTTTCAGTGTTAATGGAGATTAAAAAGTATTTGTTTTCTTTCGAACAGTTAAAGTGTATTGTCTTCTTTATGGTTTATACTAGCTAGCTCTTGTGTTTGTGAAATTCGACTTGCTGCCTTTCAATTAAGTTATTTAAGGAGCATATTTCTTTATCAAAATTACAAGCTTTTTAAATTTTAAATTTATTTAAAGTGTTAAATGGAAACATAGAATTGTCAATTTATCAGGAGACATCCACAGTAATAATAAATGAAGTGAAATCATGTGTAGAATTGTGGTCAATTCTATAAGTATTTTTAACCTTTTCTTTTTTTTTAAATGATGCATAGCCAGCCTAATGATATTTAACCAAGACACATTCACAACTTCAATGCAACACCCACAAGTATAAATTACTGATTTTGCATGGTTTAACTTAAACCATACATAATTAATGGTTAGGTTGTTGAAGAAAAATCACTTTTTGTTTTAAATAAAATACTTTTTGCACAGTTTATTTGAGAGATGTCTTTGGTGTGATGTGAAGAAAAAGTAGATTTAAAATAATAATCTTATTAGATAAATCTGCTTGAATTGTTACATGTTGAAATGTGGCATTTTGAAATGTACCTTTTTGTTCGTTGTCAACATTTTTTGTTTGTTTTACTCATGAAACTGAGATTGACGTTTCATGCCCATCTGGGGTATTTATTGGTCCTGTTAATTAACTAGCTAAATGCCATGGACAGTTTTATTATTATATTTCTGTTGCTAGTTTAGGTGATTGCTCTTTATTGAATAAATCATAAAAGGTTTATGCTTTTAAAACGAATTTGACAAATTGATTTCAGTTTCTCTTGTTTTGTACACCTAAGTGATGCACCTATTGACATTCAAATGCTTCACTCCGTGGTAAGACCCATCCACCATCTGACGATGTACAGAAAAATCGTTATGGTTTGGTTAAATGAATCATCTAAGGCAATGGTTCCCAACTAGTGCTCCACAGAGCCCTTTAGGACTCTGCTCGCCCTTCTTAGGGGCTCTACAGCTGCTTCCTCCCACTGTAACACTACACCATTAACTTGTTAAACCTGGGGTAGACCTAAGATGCTCTTCTGTACAAAGTGATTCAACAAATGGCTCAGTGGGTCAAATAGATTGGGAACCACTAATCTAAAAGGTTTCTCCAATAAGAAAATTTTACGGGATCAGGGCTGAAATTTATTTTTTTTAAATTAAAAATAATTTTTAATAAATTGTAACTAAAGTTAATTATTTGACATTTATTATAAATAAACAACAATTAACTTGTTCATCTTATTTTTCATTAAAATGAGCACTGGCTAAATTACCTTCTCTTAAAATGGATAATAATTGATGTACTGCATTCAAGGAAATCTCTTTAGTTTTTTTACTGTGCTCTGATACTTAATTTTTTTTGTCTGGTTTTATGAGGAAGGTTCTTAGCCAAAACATCAATCGTTTGTCCTGTCAATGAATTCAAGTTTTCCATACCTTGTTCCTAAATTTCTTAAAATGGAGCATCTCTGATCCATTAGCTAATAAGACTCAGATCAACTTCAACCATGCCATTTCATGTAGGCCCTATATTTATTTCACTTTAGTATGGTAACATTTTTAAATTGAAGTACACAACAAATTTTATTTGAAATTGAAATTTCAAGTAAATCTCATTCCCAAACATGCACCATGTTCAGCACTTGGGGCAATATTAAATTAAAAGGCTCAGAAAGCAATCTAATTTTTAATAGACAATAATTTTCTTTTGGTAATGGGCCCTGCAAACAGGACAAATATTCTTCAAATCAACCATAGCAATCTCTTCTAATGTTTTTAGACAGGTTGTATGAAATACATGTGTACAGGACAACAGCACAGTGCTCCTAATCTGTTGTGGGTAGGTGATGGCCAACTGTGAACTCCCCTCACCCATCTCATCAGGTTTGTTTCCAGGAAATACAGACTCTGGTCTACCCTCATCATTTCCTAGGTAATCTACTCCATTGGGAATGGCGACTTTGCTCAGTTTTGTCAAGAGTTTTTTATCTAGACTCTTCCTCCTTAAATGGCTGCTTGAGTAGGTTGTGGCTTTGGCTGAACTAGCAGACTTGGTTGTGCAGCTGTTTTCAGAGATGGGTGATGTGCTGTTGAAGGCATTAGTGGCGAAGCCATTACCTAGCTGGAGTTCAGTAAGGCAAATTGGGCAATCAACGTCTCCTCTCTCAACAGCCTGTGAAGGTCAAGATAAAGATATTTTTTTTACATAGGCTTCTGATATTACCAACACGTAAAGGTTTATTGAGCTAATGAATATTATAATGAAATTATAAGTGTAAGATGGGCTACTCCTCTCATAAAGTAAAGATGCAGTTAGAAGAATTTACCTAGATTTGATGTAGACAATTTCTGTTAAAAGGCTCAAATATTTTTTTAATATCTGAAAGTTGGTATTAACATGAGCAATGTTCATATTTTTATGAAGTATGAGTTAAACTACTCTGGCTTTACATTTAGGTATGTTTCCACATTTTTTTTCTTGTTCTAGTTTTACCTTGAGCTGGATGGCATCCCATTTCTCTGGGGAGATTTCCTGATGTGCTGCATCCCAGAGACTAAATGCTGCCCGGCTGAGCTGTACACTGTTGTCTATTTCCCTCATAAACTCTGTTATGTTGACATCAATTGATTTAATCATTCTTTCAACAATGGCTGACAACTGGTGAAAAAATCAAAAAAACATTTCAATACATTTTTAGTCAGATTAAAAGAATTCTAATAACCATAGTTTCATCTGCTTATAGATGAAATTTGTGTTTGTATAAATTTTGTAATAAGTAAAAATGAAATAAAGAAAAAAAAAGAAATGATTGACATCTAATTTAGGGGCCATCCTTAAATAATGAAACACAAATCTTGCAGATTTTTGCCGCCCCCCCCCCCCCCTGCCACCAAAGTCATAAATCATCCCTCAAAGCTAGACCACTCCCCACAACTCTAATATCATAAACCTCTTCACCCGCCCCTAAATAAATCCCTCTGTCCACTACTGTTCTTTACAAACCTTTAAAAAATTCACCTCCCATGGATATCAAATTACTGTACCTGTGTCAGAAAAATATACCTAGAACAGTGGTTCTTAACCAGAGGTGAAAGCACCCTCTGAGGTGCATATGACCTAGAAAATTGTATTTGCTGCCATTACTAGTTGTGGGTGTTTTAAAAGAAATATCAGATTTTATGTATTTTGAATGGCAGCAGAAGTGTTTTCCATGCCAGTTGCTTCAAAAACCAGTTGAGCAAGAGGAATGCAAGAATAAAAAATATATTACGTTTATAGTAAATTTGAACAATTTCTATTTACCTTCTCTTCATAGAATTTTTTCCTCAGTTTCATATCTTTTGGTGGAACAGTTTCACGCAGTTGTTTATACCAACATCTCACAACATAACCTCGCCATAGAGACTGGATTCTAAGAAAAAATACTAATTAAATAAATATTTAATATAAGTAACTTAACACTAAAAATAAGTTTCATGTATGTTGTCCGGATCAAATATTGCACCGTAAACAGTTTATGAGATAATGATCGATTTTAAGAAAACTTGATTTGACAAAAACAATTTCATTTCTAAAGATATTGAAAATTCTTTACTAAATAATGTGGACTTTCTATCAACAACATTCCTTGGAAATTTAGTTTTAATTATTTCATGCATTCATTTGTATTTTAATTTAATTTAAATGAGCTCATTGTTTTTAGGTATGGCCTCAAATGTGTTGATATTCATCCATGACTTAATTTTGGACTTTGACTAGCAATAAGATCTTTTCTCTTTCTTTCAATGTTTTACTATATTTAAAAATAAAAACAATTTTCCTTTTTTTTTTTTTTTTTTTTTTTTTTTAATTTAATTTTTTTTAACTTTTTAATGATTATTTGAATATCCCAAAGACAATTGCACAAAAATTTTTTTTTTTTTTTTTTTTTTTTTTTTTTTAAAAATAAAAATATTTTTTTTTTTTTTTTTTTTTCTTTTTTTTTTTAATCTAAATTTTATTAACTGTTTAATGATTAATTGAATATCCCAAAGACAATTGCACAAAAGATCATTATCAACATTTTAAGACTGAAGAGCATATATGCTCAACATACTTTGTTGCACTCCTGTGTTTATGAAGTCGAGCACCTTCATGAATTATTCTTGTTTGATACTGTTCATGGCGACACATAGGGCATGTCTTCTTGCCTGTGAATCTCTCAAAGGCTTGTAGACAAGCCTGTGACAGTATTTAAACATTTTACAACAGACATGTAATATATCACATATATCACTCTAGTGACCAATGCATTGCAAAAAAAAAATCACTACAATATTTAAATAAATGAGTCTTTTTTGTACAATTTTATCTCATTGATTAACATTTAATACTAACACGATTTAAATTATAATTAAACTAAAATGCCTGTAAGTTGTACTTGCTCTGTGAAAAACATGTGTGCATGACAGAATCACTTGTTCCTGTAGCCCAAAATCCTCTTTACAAATAACACAAGGCTCCTGAGAGTCATCACGTTGGTTGGACTTTGCTTTTACTGTATTCCATTCTTGTTCTGAGAGCAGCTGCTTTGGAGCATGTACTAAACCAAACTTTTGTGCTGGAATAAAGTGCTCGATATTTTACTTCTGATCACAAAATTTCAGCACACATTGGTTTAGAAAGCCCATGATTAATTTAAACCAAAAATAAACAGTTTAAAAGTTTTTAAAACATTATGAGACAAACAATAAAGAGTTCAATTTTAATAATTTTATTAAAGAAATTTACAAATTAAAAAGATTCATTAAGTAAATAATATAATGCAAGATGTGTCTTTTAAATATGATCAAATCTTTATAAATGTATTTATTTCAATATTCCCATAATATTATATTTTCTTAAATATTTAAAGGTATGATATGAGACAATAGTTTTCTTATCAAAGTTCAAATAATCTTGTTTTCACATAGATTGTTTAAATGATCAATATTTGCATGTGTTGTTTAATTCATATTAGTAGAATAGGTTGAGAGGAATTAAGCCTGTATGAATTTAATGTACTTTGTTCAAGTACAAGGGTAAATTAAAACATACTGATCTGTATTACAAATTACATATAGAGACAAATTAATGTAACCATCCATAATATTGAAAGTAGCTAATTTTTCAACATATTTTATATTTTTCTCACCCAATGTTAGAGGTGGAGGTTTCTCATCCAAGACATATTCTCTTTCTTTCATATCAACACTAGGAATACTTTTTTTTACTTCAAGAGGAAATGGAAAAGTATACATGAGGAACCAATTATTATTGAAAAATATCTTAGGATATATTGAAAAGAACACCACTTTTGACATTGCCAAACCTAACAATGTAATATAAACATATTCATATAATTAATATTTAATTTGCTATTTTTGTTTAGTGATTACAATAAGATTGATAATGACTATACTAATGACCTCTGTGTCTTCCAGTATCTACAATGGCTTTTACTTCATTCTTCTGCTTTGCTCGAGCTGCTGGACCCAGACCAATTTTTTTAGGGCCATAATTTGGACCTAATGATAATGTCCGTGACCAATGGTCTTGAAGGGCTACTGCTGTCAGAGTTAAACTAGCTGACTCCGTAATCTGTTATAACAGAGGAAATTTTAAATAAAATAAAAAGTAAAAAGACTTAAGGAAAAAAATTACAATTAATTACGTAACAAAGATTGTTGTTTACAAAAAGCCAAAACCTGTTTTTTTTTAATTTTAAATATTTAACACAAAGAATAATTTATAATTTTAATTCATGTCTGGGTGTGCTATAAAAGGCATAACTATGATAACATTATTTTATTACTACTAAAATATGAGGGTTAAACCAACTAAGTTTAAGTAGATAATGAAGTAGATAAATAAATTAGTCGTTTTAAAAGTGTAAGTAAGAGTAAGTGTAATTACTTAGTATTCTTTTCTTAGTTATATGGAATATGACATATGTATAATATCTTGTTTTAAAACCTTGCAATTTATATTATTTTTGTCACCTTTTTCTTCGATAACATGTTTTTATTTGCCATTATTATTGCCTTTAATCTTTACATTATATTATTCTGAAGATAATTCAGTAAACAGCGTCCCAAACAACGGGTAACACCTCTTAACGAATTCAAAGTAACGTTTAAGAGATATTCGATGTGTTCGATTTTAAAGGCACCAAACTTTTACTCTAAAATGCAAAGATAAAATTTCAAGGTAATTAACAAATTAACAATTAACAAACAAAAAAAATGACTACTTTTAAAATTTGAATAAAATATTATTTAAAATATTAAAATAAAATTAGAAAAAAATGTAATGCAGTAAAAAGAGTTGCAACCTACCGGTACTATAGAATATATACATAGACTATAATAGTAATAGATTTAAAGAGACCTAGAATAAAAGTCGACAACAAACACATTAATTTAATTAAAATAATGTCAAATAATTTTTTATGATTACCCTCATCCCCATATTTTTCCAGATCTCTCATTCATCACTAATTATTACACACCCACACACTATTAATCTATCCAAGAAATCCTCTTCCAATCGTCGCTGTGCACAGGCAATGTTCCAGCAGACTGGAGAACAGCGCATGTCACTCCAATCCAGAGGCTTAGCTAGGGTGTTTGGCGCCCGGGGACAAGATTCGCGCCCGGGGACAAAATCCATTTTAAAGCGCCCCCTTTTCTTTTTTTTTCAACTCTCAAACCCATTATTTTTACCAATAATATAATATCAAAGCACATTTTGGCGCCCCTAACTAGCTTACGCCCGGGTACATCTGTCCCCCCCCCCTGCTCCCCTCGCTACGCCTCTGCTCCAATCTACAAGAAAGGGGAGCATTCCGACCTTGCCAACTATCGTCCGATATCCCTCACCAGCGTGGTCTGCAAACTGTTGGAGCACATAATCGCAACGCAGTCATGAAGCATCTTGAAGGCCAAAATATACTCAATGACTGTCAACATGGCTCCCGAGTCAATAGATCATATGAGACCCAGCTCTTTGAATTTGTAGAAGACTCGATTACAAATCTGGAGAACAGCAAGCAAACTGACGTGCTGGTTATGCCCTTCTCAAGGGCATTTGACCAAGTCAATCATAGTTTGCTTCAAACAAACTTCAGAGATATGGGATCCAAGGCACTGCTAAAACATGGATCTCTAGCTTCCCCAGTAAACGATGTCAAGCAGTAGTGGTGACGGTACAAGCTCCTCCTTTGTCGGTGTTAAGTCAGGGGTCCCCCAGGGATCAGTGCTAGGCCCCTTTTTGTTCCTTGCATACACTAATGGACTATCCGAGAAACTGACATCCCAAGCAAGACTGTTCACAGATGACACCGCGGTGTATAGGACGATCGCCAATAGATCTGACCAGGACCAGCTACAACAAGATCTCAATCTGTTAGCTGAGTGGGAGATTAGCTGGGAAATGGAATTTCATCCGGTCAAGTGCCAGACACTGTCAGTCTCTAGAAGTTGTACTCCTCTACGCTACCAATACGAACTGCAAGGCCATATACTTGAGTCAGTTTCCTCCGTAAAGTACCTGGGTGTTACCATTCAAAGAGAGGTCTGCTGAGACGAGCATATTAACAATGTGTGTAACCAAGCAAACAAGACCCTTAAGGTTTTTAAGTCGTAATCTAAAGATTGGCAACTCCTGTGTGAAAGAAAGAGCATATAAAGCCTTTGTCCGTCCGGTTTTAGATTATGCATCTTCAGTCTGGGACCCATTTACCCAGAAGAGCATTGACAGGTTGGACGCGGTCCAGCGACGAGCAGCACACTTTGTCCTGAACCGCTACAGGAATACCTCTAGTGTTGGCAGCATGCTTGAAACACTAGGTTGATCACCATTGGGGGAACGACGACGACTATCCAGGCTCTCCATGATATACTTGATAAATAATGGGTTGGTCCACTGCTCCAGCATTAAACAGAAACTCGTCCCTCTCCCCCATAAACAGCGACGAGGCCATGACAGGCAATTCAGGCTCATACCAGCAAGAAGCCAGTATAGGAGCTGCTCATTCCTGCCAAAGACAATCAGGTAGTGGAAAAAAAGCTTTCAAAAGGAATAGTTGAGTCCACAACACTTGACACATTTGCGTCTATTGCCTCAGGCCTTCCAACCCCCAGTGCATGATACCCTCACAAAGTAGCCATTGCAACCATTGAAATATCCTCATCAACACCAGGCACAGAAATACTGAAAATTCCCTCTACATGCATAGGAGCCAAAATGATCAATAAATTGATCGTGGGCTCTAAATATAATATAGAAGAAAGAGAAAAGTAATTAGGTAATTTTAATAGGTTAAATAAACCATTTCCCCCCTTCTCCCACTGTCGAGAATTGGAGTTCATTAATAATTTTGCGACTGGATATTATATTTGTTTAAGCACGGTGTTTTTTGTTTTTTTTTGGATAGATTAATTAGTTTAGTGCAGGCCTGCACAACATAAGGCCAACGGGCCCGGCCCACCAGCACCCACTTTGCGGTCCGCGAAGTAACGAAATATTCTTTTTTCTTTTCCTAATATCTCCCACCCCCCCCTCACCCCCCCTCTTCCCGGTCCTATTTTTTGGCCCGCACAAGTCCTGTCCTATTTTCTTTTGGCCCGCACAAGTTTTTCATAAAGTATTACGGCCCGTCGTACATTTTGAGTTGTTAGTGAACGCTCTTCCCGAGCTTGACTTGGTGACTCATTTTTATGCGCATTATGACGTATTACTTAGTCTGTTATGTCACAAGATCAAGAAGGGCCTTTTGTATATTTAGGGCAAAAATCTTCTGACGGCTAATTGATCCACTTCCCGTCAACCTATCGAGCTGAAACTTGGCAAACAGACTCGTTTCCGATGAGGACACGAGTACACATTCTTTCAAATTTTCAGCCCCACCCCCATCTCTAAATCTCCAAAAATCAGTTTTCCTGTTTTTCAAGGGGATGATAATGGAAATATGATGCCATTAATTTCATGACATTAAATTTCCGATAACTGCGATAAATGAGATTCTTAAAAATAATCGCAAGTGAGTTTGGTGTGTAATTAGTGTAATATTTTCTTTTCTTTTTCTGAAATAGTTTGTGAAATAAATCTGCAGCGTTAAAGCGGTTGGGACATTAGAATATTAATAAAAAAATAAATAAAATAATGATGAATATATATATATATATATATATATATATATATATATATATATATATATATATA